ATGCACAGTGGAGAGTAGACTTACACACTAACAGGTACCAAAATAAGGTATAGATACAATTGTCAATATAACTCTTTTCTTTATTTTATAACAGGAAGGAAAAGTCTGTGTCACTCAAGTAGCAAATCTCCTGCTTTGCATATATGCCAAAGAAAATGTTGGGTTTGGTCTACTACGAGCCAAAACACAAGCCCTTGCAAAGTACCTGGATGGTCCATTACGCCAAGTTGCTGCAGCCTGACGTCCTTTTTGATGCTAGGTTTAAGTTTCAAATAGGTTTTGCAGCCTTTGCCCTGATAATACTTTGTATAGGGCATTGTATTAAACATACTATTAATTTGATTAAACAAATTTTACTGAGCTTTTTGAATCTTAAGAGAGGTTACAGTACAATCAATTTTGAAACCAGAAAGTCTGAACAGAAGTATCTGAGTGTTGTGTTTGCATAGTTATTTTGTATAATTTAGGATTGAGTCAGGAAGACTAAGTATGGCTGTATTTGAAAGGCATTGTTAATAAATACACTTATAGATTTTATTTATGTTTCTGCATCATCAAATAAAGTCTCATAATTGTATGCTTTTTTCAGTAACCTATCATACCGTAATGTGGTAGTCATTTTAGATACATAGTGACCAAACCAAAGAAGATGATCTGAAGATACTCAGCATGCCTTTGGAGTCATGGATTTATCTAACATGATTTATATAAAAGGTTTGTGATTGGTAAATTATTTACTGAAACATTTCATCTTGCACTGTGCACATTGTATGGATACGCATGATAAGTTTTCATCTTGCACTGTGCACATTGTATGGATACGCATGATAAGTGATAGAAAACTTATAGGAATTTATAAGTTCATCTGCATCACAACCTTGCTCAAGGAAAAGTAAGAAAATTATTTCTGTAATTTTAAAGGCTATCAAACATATATAATATTCTGTAACATATATTCATATTGATAACATATATTCCTCCTTCACTAACAACATGAGGTGTCAGGAATATATATTATTTGATTCTAAGGTTATGTAAACTTTTTTAACCAATTGGATCCATGGTCTCTTGCTTGTTCATACGTGGCCAGAAATCTAGACCACTCACTTGAGTGGTGACTCTCGGGTGTGTGGCTTGTAGACTCGGACCATACAAACACTTATGTGCATTGCCAAGTCTCCTTTACTCCCCTTTGGAAAATTATTATCTCTTTCTGTATGAGCCTTCTTTTTTTAAGGTCTGTATTTGCCATTTGATATGCTGTATCAAGATGGTAATAGACTGTTTTCCTTGTACAGATTCCATATCATCTCTCTAGATAGTCTGCTACTCAGTGCTATAACAATGACAATACATAACATACATTCCATACTAGTTTACTGATGGAAATAATGCAATGGCCCTTTTGAAAATATCCACTGCATCTAATCACCCTCCAGTTGCTTGTAGCATTACTGCCAATTCATTCCCATCAACCTGGCCTTTATCCAGAATTTTCATGACTGTATATTCCTGTCACTCCTGCCTGCAGCCAAATATTTCCATGACAGCGTATTCATGTTGCTCAGCCGTCACCCATATTTTTTCATGACATGGATGTCACATCACCTGGATCCAAGTTGTGAATTAAAGTAAAAAAATTTACATTTTCTCCATTAATGTGCTTACTCCAAAATCCCACTTATCAAATACTTTGTTAAGATACCTATATGGAATACAAAGTGAAATAGTTAGAAAATCTAATTGGGCAAACAGTTCATAAATTTGATCTTTTCAATTTTTTTAATGTGTAGTGTGAGTAATCTATTTTTCTAATTGTTATTGCCATAGACTGAAACATAGTCAATATATTTTGATATCCCTCTTGGTATTTATATGTGAATATCTTTAGTCTACAGGGAATTCCTTCAGAAATATGTTGCCAACATTAATTAGATATGAGCATCTTTCCAATGTTCATTTTTTCAGAGTAATGGCCTATTCAATTGGTTACTGGTGGGTAAATGCTAGGGACATTTTTTTCTATTTCCTTTTTTGCTATTTACAAAATTGGATAGTTGCTAGTTGATTGAGTATTAATATAGTAGAACTAATGTTTGATTAAATTAAAAGCGAGATTTAAATTCATAATTTGCGAGTAATCTAGATACGAAGAATGTGGAGTAAGATCTATATTTGTGTTGCTTAGTAAGTGGGACCTGTAATATATTTTTATTAAAGCCTGTATCAGAATTATTAAGCTAGTGCTGTATTCAATATGGAAATGGTGCCATGAATATTGCCAGGCATATCACAGATATATGGTAGGGAAGATGTAAATTTTAAAAGTTGCGTGATATATTTTCATATGCACATTACCATATTGGTGATATATTTATGCATGATCAGTATTTAGCAGGTCCAGGAAAATAATTTATTAACTGAGCTCCAAATTATGTTGTGTTGTAATTAGTTTTCCATGTAGAGTTCAAGTTACTGAAGCAAGCTTTTATCATTGTAC